TTTTTTTTCTCAGTGGTATGGTATTCGACTCCTTTTTTTTCTCAGTGGTATGGTATTCGACTCCTTTTTTTTTCTCAGTGGTATGGTATTAGACTCCTTTTTTTTCTCAGTGGTATGGTATTAGACTCCTTTTTTTTTCTCAGTGGTATGGTGTTCGACTCCTTTTTTTGCCTCAGTGGTATGGTATTAGACTCCTTTTTTTTCTCAGTGGTTTGGTATCCGACTAGTAAAAGAGGGGTTGACAGGTTCGAAACTTGTGGAGGACTCATTTTTTTGTAAATATTGTATGGCGATGTTATTTACCTTGAATGATATCCTACCCCTTATCTTACGGGATAATGGGTACGACACAAGCTGCAAAAAAATCATACTAAAAAGTATTTCTTTTACCAACTGCTACCTTATTATCTGTCTAGTTTGGCGACAATCTAAGAATATATAGGAAGGTGGAAAGCAATTTTTTTAGGAGAGTACGTTTTTTTTCTACCCAGGTCACCACTCTACGTCAAGATATTCGCCTTACAATTCCCCAACTTCAAACTCACCCTTCTCCCCCTTGGGTAATCGACCCATACGCCCAAAGCCGTTCTGTGTTGATGTCGGTACTAATACGTCACTTCCGGGCTGCGTGAATGGCCGGTCACCAGACCTCCCCGCCAATCCTTCCACGTGGTCAGTGGAACAAGTTGTGAGATATGTGCGTTCAACGGATTGCCTTCATTATGCTAATATATTCTTAGATCAGGTAAATGCAAGCTGCTATACTCTTCTGTTCTTGAATTTAGATTCGTTATATTCCGTTTTAATGGAATCACAAGAGTGACGCCCTACGCGGTGCTTTTTTTGAGTCGAGAGCTTATTACTCTTCGAGGTTCGGTTAGCCCTGAACCCATTTAACGTCATTGATATGTATCGTAATCTTTGACAGGAAATTGACGGCCAAGCACTGATGCTGTTATCACGTGACTCCCTGATGCAGTTTACACGCATGAAATTGGGACCGACGTTGAAGATGTGTAGCTACATTGCTCAGCTCAAACTTCGAGCGCGTTAATGTCCACAGATCTGTCGAGTTTTCACGTACTTCTTTGAGTATTCACACAAAAGTTTGCGGGTCACTTTGGACAACATTTGAAGTTAGAAACTTTTGCACCCTTTAGATATCCCTACCGGTAATGAGAGCCAGAAGAGGTTTATTAATTGTGTTACATGCGCATGGATGCAGGAGCTGCAAGGAGTAATTCATCCATGGTCTCCAACGTTACCTGGTTTATAAAGTCACGAAATGAGCGCCAATGGCTTGCTCCTAGTGCGACCGTTACTAATCTCCTTCACAGGTTTTGTTTGGTCTCGTCGCGCAACGCGCGCTCTCTCCCCACCATAGATACTCTGGGGGAGGTTGCGCGCTCTCTCCCCACCATAGATACTCTGGGGGAGAAAGCGCGTTGCATGAAGAGACCAAACAACGGCTGCGAAGGAGACTAACAGTCGTCCTAAACTATTGAAAACTGGTGAAATTAAGAAGTTCCTTTCACTTCAGATTCAAGCCCTGCATAGCATAATATTCCTACAAGGACGTGTGACAAGTTTTTGTGCCCGGCAAGACTCGCTGCTATGAGATGTGACCTTTGATTATATCCTCCGTTATCGACCTGTTAAACAAGTGTTATTGCCTTGTAAGTGAAAATATCCACACAGGGCTTCATCAGAGATTCCGTAATCGGAGATAAGTCAAACAACACAGCTTCGTAACAGAGTTGAATGAGGGAAGAACTTGGCGCTTGAAACTACATTTGAGGAAAAGTTTGTGGCAGGGACACAGTGCTTAAGGGACAGTTCTTAGCGTATTCAAGTTTTTATCATTTCCCAAGGGTTATGTATTGAATCAGGAGCGCATGTCGACTTAGTGTCGTAAAACCAAATCTAAAGTAATCAGCTTCTCAGGACAATATTAATACGTTCAAAAATTCATGGAAAACTCAAAAAATAAAACGAGCAAACTTCCTGAGGCGCGGGAAAACCCGCCTGACTTAGTCGCGAGTGGCTTTATTAGCTTGGCATCTAATCGATTTAGGGTCTTTTTCGCGATTTTAGACCAATCACGGAGCATATGGACTGATGCAAGTTTTTGTAGACTAATCACAGAATATTGCAATCCTAGGATACTTTGACATTTGAAAATTGCTCTCACTACCGGTCCAATTTTTTCCTAATATCTTTGAACAACTTTTGAATGTTTGTTCTTTTTCTTTCTTATCTTATGACCACAGACTTAAGTAATAGAGCGATACCAGGTAATTTATCCAGGACAGTAAGATTAACAATACGAATAATTACAGTAAACTAAATTGATATAGGCGTTGTCGGCGCCTACCGTATGCAACTCGTTTCCATACGCGAGATAAACATTTTGATACTTTAAAATTGTATAGAGTGACATATTTTATGTAACATAATTTTTCCTGTGAATTTGGTACTGGCATATTTAGAGGTCAAATACGCTGCACTCTCGGAAACCGATGGCTGACGTGTTTGCATGACGAAAATGAGTTCGGGAAAAGATCGGCAATCATCAGAAGTTGCTGTGTAGCAACGTCCATCGCTTTCCGAGAGTGCCAAGCGAGAATCAATCGACGTTCAGAAGTCTTTCAAAGACGGAATTTTTGTCAAGTATTAAAATTATTTTTATTTAGCTTGTGTCTGTGATGAATTAAATTTTCTATGACGGAATTATTTTATGTAATCCGTAATGTTTTCACAGCGTCTAATGAAAAGGTAAAGATCGTAATAAGCTACTCTCGCTGAAATCAGTAGTCACCTACTATTTCATTTTAACCCCGAAAAATAATTGTAACTTCGGTTCGCACATCTTGGTATCGAAACTGGAACTTGATCTTCGAACTAACTCAAATGCTGGACAGATGTTTGAATAAAACGACCAAACCTTTACCAGCATTAGACAGTTGCAATAGGCTAGTTTCGAATTGTTAGTGCGAGAAAGTCTGGTAATAAGTTTTTAGCACCAAGACGAGGCTGAGGGGAATAGAAGTTGTCTCAGCATGGCAGCGAATCCTGCTAACTTTGCCGATATGAAAGTATCTGAGCTTCAAAAGTTTTTAAGAGAAAGAGATATTCAAATTTCTATTAACGGTAAGAGTAGGAGAAGAGCAGAACTACTGGAGCTATGTAAGAATGCAGCGGAAATAAAAGTTCCAAATATTGAAGAGGAATCAACGAAACGGGATGAGTTAATTCCAAGATAACACTGCCAGGAGGAAAATTACTTCCCCATCCGACTTGGAGACGTGCACGTCAGTTTCTTGCCTTTAGGTGAAACGGAAAAGAATCACAGAAAATGCTGTTCCAATGGAAAATGTTAAATTTAAAAAATCAGAGTGTGGAAAAATATCTAAGGATTGTCCAAAACCTCATTAACCCTTTGTGCTCTGATAATCTCTCTCAGTCATTCCAAGAGAAGTTTTATAATACATTATTAGAAGCTGCCCCTTCATGTGTAGCTTTGCAGTTTATAACAAAACCCCCAGTCCAGGCTGTGAGTGAGGAATAACTCTTGGACCAGATCTCATCTGCTGACATTGATCATGAGGAAATAGTAGAATATGCAGAGGTGTATTCCCTTAAAGAGTTAGCTGACATATTTGTTGCTCAAAATAATTGTTAAAGTTTGGTTT